GGTATTTAGATTTAATGTTATCGAGTTAGTGTTGTTTGTTTATATTTATTTATAACTTGTAACATGCACAAAATAAAAAAGAAAATAATATTAGTCACATGTATTCACAATTTATAATTACAAAGATCAGCACACGTACACACCTATTTGTTCAAGAATCGTCGCACATCTGAGGATCTGACCCTGCCTATCCTTCTTTTTAAGCGCTCGTCTTCGCTCTTCCCTTTCTCTTTCCTCTATTGCTCTAATCCATGTATACCTGTGCATACATCATAATACGTGCTCACGATACTTTCGATTCGTCACTTTTCCGTCGTAGAGTTCCCATTTTACAATTACGTGACTCAGCCTGATGATAACGGAGAAAAGAGACAGATAGGACATAGATATAAGTCACAGTTATGATTTCACAGATTCGAGACAGCTTGATAGCCCGAACGGCCCCAGGCTTTCACCCGTGCACGCTAAGTGACTTTCGTTACAAGCATTTAGCTTTCCGAAGTCTATGACAACAATTGTTTGACATTGACGGGCGCGAATTTCGTACCAATAAGCTGCCTCGACTTATTCGATTATGTTATCAACTCAATTTCATATTTATTTTCACATTTTCACTTTGCGGTCCTTCTCTGTTCTTTTTCCGTTATTTACAAGTGTAGGTCATTTGATATCATCATTTATCACATACTTCCATGACACTCTTGTCTGTCGGCTACAACTGCCAAGAATTAACGCGATTGGCGAAGCATAGTGACAGTGGGCCAATAGAGAGCAGGATCCTTGCCATAATGCGGTTTGCGCGCCAATTTTCGTACGTGCATTAATCAAGCCGAATAGTTTGGCCGAATATTCAGCTATTCGGCCACGCTCCTGGCCGAATATTCAGCTATTCGGCCTCAGGCCGAATATTCAGCTATTCGGCCTCAGGCCGAATATACTATTCATTACAACACTAATGTATATACTATGCTGGGGTTCAGCAATGGCCATAAAGAGGAGTTTATACATTCTTGATAATTTTAGCTGTCATTATCAGGTTAAATATGTTTGAAAAATAATGCAGAAACTACAACAATAGATGTAGACCAAAAGGGTTAGAATTGATGGAAGTGTTTGGAACAAAAAATCTTACATTGATACATTTCCTTAATCTTAACATCATCATCCAGGAAGGGCATATATCCACCACAACATACAGGAAATAGTCATACCATCCCTTAGTCACTCCTGTGATATCATACAATCCCTTCTCTTATAAAATGGCATCATTCAGAACCCTCATCAGAAGAGCCTTAATGTACATTTCCAACCACAACAATAGAGAGCAAGAACTAAATTACATCACCAATATCGCAGCACAATATGGCTACCATCATAGAATCATCAAGGTCTAATCAAATCTTATTATGTGTGGACTGCATGAAAAGGGAAGGGAATAAACTGAAAATTGATGACATACAACCAGCAGTTGAAATTACCTTGGTAATTAATTACAAAGGCCAATAATATTGACATAGCTTCAGAAGGAAACCTCCTGTATACCCTCTGCTGAGGAATTCTAAAGATTGTATCGAGGACCTTCTCTCAGCATTTACTCCATTCCAGTCACTCACCCAGCCTTGGACAAGAAACAAAATATATTGGCTAGTGTTGTAATGAATAGTATATTCGGCCTCAGGCCGAATACCGAATAGTAACCGAATATTCGTTTCGGCCAGGAGCGTGGCCGAATAGCTGAATATTCGGCCAAACTATTCGGCTTGATTAATGCACGTACGAAAATTGGCGCGCAAACCGCATTATGGCAAGGATCCTGCTCTCTATTGGCCCACTGTCACTATGCTTCGCCAATCGCGTTAATTCTTGGCAGTTGTAGCCGACAGACAAGAGTGTCATGGAAGTATGTGATAAATGATGATATCAAATGACCTACACTTGTAAATAACGGAAAAAGAACAGAGAAGGACCGCGAAGTGAAAATGTGAAAATAAATATGAAATTGAGTTGATAACATAATCGAAAAGTCGAGGCAGCTTATTGGTACGAAATTCGCGCTCGTCAATGTCAAACAATTGTTGTCATAGACTTCGGAAAGCTAAATGCTTGTAACGAAAGTCACTTAGCGTGCACGGGCGAAAGCCTGGGGCCGTTCGGGCTATCAAGCTGTCTCGAATCTGTGAAATCATAACTGTGACTTATATCATGTCCTATCTGTCTCTTTTCTCCGTTATCATCAGGCTGAGTCACGTAATTGTAAAATGGGAACTCTACGACGGAAAAGTGACGAATCGAAAGTATCGTGAGCACGTATTATGATGTATGCACAGGTATACATGGATTAGAGCAATAGAGGAAAGAGAAAGGGAAGAGCGAAGACGAGCGCTTAAAAAGAAGGATAGGCAGGGTCAGATCCTCAGATGTGCGACGATTCTCCAACGATAGACGTGTACGTGTGCTGATCTTTGTAATTATAAATTGTGAATACATGTGACTAATATTATTTTCTTTTTTATTTTGTGCATGTTACAAGTTATAAATAAATATAAACAAACAACACTAACTCGATAACATTAAATCTAAATACCAAAATGATTAATTTACTGTGTTTTTGTTATTTATTTATCCTGTTTTTAAGTATTCGGTATTCGGCCGAATAGTGATTAAATATTCGGTATTCGGCTGAATAGTGAAAAATAGGCCGAATACCGAATAGTAACCGAATATTCGTTACATCACTAATATTGGCACCACAATATGCCTACTCAAACAATGTGCAAAGGAACATGTAACTTTGATTAAAAAAAGGCATTACATAAAAACATTAACTGGGCCACAGAATGCAAAATCCAAGCACATATAGATGGAGTCTGACTTCTACACACAACTAGAATGCAATCATCTTTCATGCACCTGGAAAAACTAGACATATATAGGGCATGTAAGAAAAATAAGGCCATAAATTTCAAAGATAGCAACCTGCTTCCTCTAGTGTGGAGATATCTTTTTGAAATCCAAAAATAAATCCTAAACATAACATCAACAATCAATATATTTAACATGATGATGATAAATCAAATCCAAATGATTGCCACAATGAAGAGGCTTAGAGTAGGACTCAAACCCACAATTCCTGCTTACCATGTAGATGCATTGCCAGTTACACTACCCAGACTTCCACCTAATTCAAGACATTTAATTTTAGCTATAACTGCATCCATGGTTACTTACAGTACCAACTGAAAATGGCTTCATCGTCCTGGTCTGTAACATGGATTATATATATATAATTATTAATTGTATTTTTAATTATATAATTATTAATTGTAGCTGAAAAATAGCCTATTCATTATCATTTGGATTTGTTTAATAACATCAGACTTTGAGATGTTTATATATATATAATAAACATCTCAAAGTCTGATGTTATTAAACAAATCCAAATGATCACTATAATGAATAGGCTATTTTTCAGCTACAATTAATAATTAAATTCTAATTTAGTACTAGAAGTAACCATGAGTGATTATATCTAAAATTAAATATAACTGGAAGCAAAGGATCAGGCAAAGATCTGAGTAACGTAATTGGCAATGCATATGCCTGGTAAGTGGGAGATGCAGGTTTAAGATTTGATTAATAACATTGAGCCTGATGATGACAGCTAAAGTTATTGAAAATGTTTATCATTAAATCATTAAATATTTTTCATTTTTGTTGGAATTTTTGGTGGTTTTTTTTGTTTCTTTAATATATATATATATGTTACAGTTAAAACCCGATTTTAGTTAAAACCCGTTTTAACTAGTTAAAACTAGTTTTTACTGGATGCCTTTGTTAAAACTAGAATTTACTGCTAGTCAAAAATGAATTTCAGTTAAAACTAGTTTTAACTAGACAAAACGGGTTTTAACTAAATGGCTTAGTAAAAACTATTTGGACCGAAATCAAAGTTCATTCAGCTAACACATGTGTGATACACGGTATCACACAACAGTCTGCAAGGACCGCTCACGCTGTCGTTTCGGATGGCTTTTTATCGAGTGGCAAGGGAAGTGAGCAAGTCAGCAGGCGTCCTTTCAAAGACAGGAGACAGGTTTAACGAATAAANCGTCAAAAAAAAGAAGTAATTAATCCCAAAGGAGACATCCATTATAATTAAATGTTATGTGTATAAGAAGCTAGAGAAAGAAATGATTAGAATTTCAAAGATATATGACTAATTTATTTCAGAAAAGTAGCATCACAAAACAGTGTAACTTACTTATGTACACTAATACATAGCAAAGCATTAAACTGAACAAAGTTCTTATGTTGTACACTGATGGATTTTGCTATACAGTGATACACCGAACTTACACGATAGGTGGGACCGAGCGATAACCGCGTAAGTCAAATTCGCGTAAGTCGGGGTATAATTTTGCAATTTGTGTAAAATCCAAGTTGGAGGTATGTAAGCTAATAAATGTTCTCGTTAATCTTATCTCGTCTTTTGATTTATTCATGGTTACAAGAAATCACCACATAGAGTCTCTCAAGTCTCCGTAGATATAAAATATACAGAAATAATAACACAAAATAAATTGTAACTATGTGTCGATTCCGTGCGACACATCCGAACATGTAAGCTGAACAGTAGTGTGAGGGAGTGAGTAATCAAGAGTTACCTGGCGCTCAAACAAAAGACGATTTGACGAGATTTGAAAATCGTGTAACTCCGGGTTTGCGTAAGTCGGGGTAGCATAAGTAGAGGTATTACTGTATAGTCTATAACTGTTGTTCAAGTTCATCAACTTTCTGAGATGGCTGTAGCCTGACATGCTCAAATGGGGATAGGTCTGTTAATCTGACTGGCCAGGGAAGGGTTTCAACTTCACAAAGGCACTTTTGAGAAATGCAAGCTGTGTGATCAAATAAAAACTAATATATCAGTATGACCAGCTGACTTCTCAAACTCAACAATGTTCACTTCTTCAACATACTCTGTTATTTATAGGAATATCAAAAATTTGTTGTTTTGACATTCTTCAAGTAAACAGAAGCCTAAGTAAACAGACAATTCATTTATACTGTTCATAATAATGATAATAGCTCTTAAATAGTCATAGGATGCATGGCTCCAATTCATGCATCGGAGCTCTGCATCTTATGACTATTTAATTCATTATCATCAGCATACAACCACTATAAATTTTCTCAATTTATCTAAGTACATCACTTTTTGGCAAACAGTGTATTAATATTATATTTTGTATTCTTAATTTTGTTTTACTAGTTCTTTTAAATTAATAATTTTGAAAATAAATTTAAATTTAATAATAATTATTTCATTAAATTTTATATTAAACTGTTTAGAAGAAAATTTTAATAACTAAATAATAATAATATTTTCAATTATTTTTATGCTTTTAATAAAATACAATCATTACATTTGTCAGACTTCTAGAAGGTATATACAGTGGTACGTCAGAATATGAAATTAATTCGTTCCGAAACTGAGATCGTATCATGAAAATGCCGTAAGGTGAATCATTTTTCCCCATACAATTACATGTAAAACCAAATAATTCATTCCAACACAAAAATCACACTCAAATTAAAGCTAAATAGTACATTGAAAAAAAATAACTTTAGTAAGGAAAGCACTGAAAAATGCATTTTGTAGTTGTAAATGTATAAATAACCATAATAGAATAATAATTGATAAAAAAATGTAGTTATATTTGCACTTTACCTTTGAGGATAGACGTCGATGGAGGTGTAAACTGGTGGCGGAGGAGAGGAAGAAGGGAAATGATACTAAAACTTAACTTACATAACATAATGTAACGATAACTTAAAAATAATTTAACACTAATTTTTTAACTTTTCTATTTTATATATATTTTAAAATCTTTTATTCACTGCTTTTTGTCATCTTTCCTTCACTTCCACCAGCACTTTCACTGGATACAGGTCGCTTGGTAAAATATCTATCCAAAAAGTTTGGCTTTGCCTACTTTTTAAAATGTTTCTAAAATGACTTAGGCAAATGTCATTACTCCAAGCAGAAATACGGCCAGTGTGAACCTTTTCGGGATGTTTCTTTTCAATAAAATCAGTCACTTTCTGATAATACCTCAAGATTTCCTTTATCGAGCGAGATCCTTCCACAACGAAGCAAACACGCGGACTGAGACCAATGAACACAAGTGAATAAAAAATGGCACTGCGAACTAATGTAACATCGTATGGTGAGTTTTTGTTCATACCGTGGAGCAAAATTATGTTCAAATTTCATGTTGTACCCTGAAAATTTCGTATAGTGGGGCATTCATATCCTGAGGTACCACTGTATTATAAAATTTGGTGTAATTAACGAAAGGTTATAAAATTAATCATAATAAGTAAATGAATAAATGACTACTAATTTCATGAAGCCAACTTTTATAAACTAAAAGAAATGTTTCAATCAAGATCTAACTATTCTTGAACAGGAGTGGCCAACAGTTTTTGCCCTGGGCCGAATTGGAAAGAAAAGCTTTTTCACAGGCCAAACCAGAGGCTGCCCTAGGAAGATTTTGAGGTGGTGCAAGATCTCATTGTGGTGTCACCCCATACAGACTAAATTGTACATAGAGATTATAGATACATTTTTCACATTATCATGCTTTATCAACATTCTATGCTGTACTTAAGAGATTTGTAATGGAGTGTTAACTCTGAACGCACAGTGGGTTGTTGACCAATTTTTTTTGTAGGCATCAGAATTTTTCATCGAGCTATTCGGATTTCAGTAGTTAACATTGAAAGATTGATTCATTAGAAGGGCCATATGTTGGCCATGCCTGGCTAAGAATCTTAATATTTAACAGTTTAGAATAACATGTACGGGTATCCATTGATTAATGAAGTTAATTAATCCCTGACCTACCTCATGTATCAAAATTACATTAATCAAAAGATGATATCTATGTTAAGTAAAGATAGCTGGTAAAGTCATGTAAATTAAAACTTCTGCCGCATGTATAAAGGGATTGCTGCAATTAAATTTTGTGCATTAATCAAATCCCACGTTAAGCAAGGGATACTTGTATAGATTATATAAAACAGAACACATTCAAAAATATTCTGAACAGTTACAAATTTTGAATTTGAAACAAATGTAATAGAACACTTGAAATAAAATAAAATAAATTCATTCATTTATTCACAAGATGGTGCCAAGATTTATAAACTTTTTTGTTAATCACAATTTTTCTTTTTGAAAAGCAATACTATTTTCTATTATGTTAGAAATTGTTGTCCTACTTCCTTAAAAGTTTAAAATACAATTAATAATGCCTAGTTTTCAACCAATAATAAATTATAACACAAGTCAAAACAGTAACCAATCCAAACTTAAAATTTAGTTCATCTAACTTAGTAATTAATATCTAAAAAGTTAAAGAGGACTAATGTTAAGGAATAATCAGAAATTTAATAAATGTTCATTATTTTAAAATATTGAAAAAATTTTGGCAATCATTGCCATATTAACTTAATACCAACCCTTCAATAAAAACGTTTATTGCACCAGGACGAAAGTAAAGAATTCTTTCCAAAGAAAGTGAAAATTTTATACCACGAACATCAGAAATATATAAGTTTGTTGTTGATGTATCATGTGTAACACACACAAAAACCTGATCTTCAGATGCATCAGCAATATAAAAATCCTGTAAATATAATATTTGAAATGAAATGAAGATGTATAAATATTTTAATGAAGCATGCTAGCATTAATCATACAGTCAACTCGCATTAATACAAATCACAAGGGAAACCGTAATTAGTTCACTTTATCGAAAATTTATATTAATGATTTTCAGGGTCAAGGTTGTATAATTTAGAGAGTTAAGGTTTAATAAACAGTTGAAATCTCTAAATAATAATATTTTGAATTAATTTACTAAATAAAGTTAAATAAAATTCAATTTGTTTACAAAAACAAATTAATGTTCTAAATGATTTTCAAATGAAACAAAATGAAGAAGAGACAGTATTTGCCCTTGAAGTGTGTAGTAGTATATCTGAGTGGTTTAATAAAACAAAACTATAAGAAATCTGTGATATTTTTCTGTTCAAGATTGTTTGAAATAGTAGAATATATTTCGGAATCAAAACAGTAAAAAAGGAGCTAAATTTGGCACAAAGCAGACAAATCTAGCATCATGTATGCACTCTCCAATACGCAAACTAGCACATATTTGCATGGGTCCAAATCCATTTAAAGGAGTGGGCACCCTTAAACTTTAACACCTATTCTCTGAGTACATTAAAATCATTTGCTACAACCAGACATTTGAACTGCTCTACAATTAGAGGTTTAACCTATCTTTGCTTACTAGAAGAAAATCTATTCTATTCAAAATGGAACATTTTACAGATCCACTTTTTATTGTTCATGTCAAAAAGTGTAAGAAGCAACCATTATTGGAAACAGGGTTATTTCTTCAGGATTTGAAGGTAATTTACCTTCAAATTCTGGTAAAATTTTTGTTTGCTTTATTGATTTAAACTATGTTGTGACAATGGCAGTCAATGGCAAAATTTGCTTTAACATTAGAATTTGCTTTATTGATGTTCATTTTAAGGTGAGTTGACTGTATTAAAACTATCATCATTATCTAAGTTTACTACCAATTTATTTTACAATGTTTTTCAAAATAAAAATGTACTAAAATGCATTTAATAAAATAAAATTTTTATTGCTGTAATTTATAAATAGAATATATTCATTTATAAATAGAAATTATAAATGAAAACAATATAATAATAATAAACATTATAATCTTGTTCCATCTTTCACATGAAAACCATTTGCTAAGTATAAACAAATTGAACACTTAATTTCCATTATCACTGTTATCTACAAATTCTTAAATAAGAGCAATGTTTGATTTAATTTTTTGTTTTTAAAAGAAACAAGTAGGTTGATTTTATTTGTATACTAGATAGAATTAGACATGCAAATTAAGTGAAGCTCTTCTATAAATGTCCATCCTAAAAAAAAAGGATTAATTTTAAGAGATTAATGATAAGGATGTAAGAATCAAATAAAATTTTCGAATATTCACAAATTTGCTATATAAACAGTAATTACAAGTATACCTCGAGTTACATTATTCTTGATTATACATTGTCAAAAAAATATATGGAAAATAAAAATCAAGTTTAAGTCATTTCATTCAACTTTACATCCGTCCACCACAAATATTGAAGTCGTAATATCACTAGAAAAGCTTTAAAGCACATAAAATCATATTAAAATACGTACATTTACAGTAAATGTTAATATAATCATTATAAATCCTAGATAACAAAACATGAAAATATCTGTGACTGTGTTGTCGTCTTATTTAGTGGTCTGTAAGTGCTCAATATTGGCGTTTTCCATGGTAGTTCCAATATCTACTGTTTGGCGTCGTTGTCAGTGCCACTCGATATTTGTAAATTTAATATAAATTAGTTTATTTTCTACTGTTGTAAGATAATTTTAATAACTGTATTTGTTAATTAACCTTACAAAATCTTATTTTATAAAGTCTTAAAACAAACCACATTCACAAATAAAGAATTCGCAATGTACTGTAAACATCACCAAATTGTAAATGTGTACATTTACAAGTATATAATGTACGTACACGAATTCGTAAATTTAGATTACTTTTTTCTGTACTATATTAAAAACCAAAATTTATTTGTTTGTAAGCTTAAAATATTGTTATTAGCAATATATTATTAAAAATGCATTTATAAATAAAATACAGAACTGGGAATGATTATTTGTGTTTTAGCCTAATGACAAGTAAATTTGACTTACGTCGTTTTTCGACTTAAGTCACCTCTCCTGGAACCAATTACCAACATAAGGCAAGGTATACCTGTAGTTACCTTTATTATCAGCAAGAAATCAAATTTTAAAAAATTTTGTTCTTTCCTACTACAAAAATTGTTTTGCTTTATCAAAAGTACATATGATTGTAAAAAATGGTAATGCTTGACAAATTGTTGGTCAAATAGTGTATTAATTTTTTTAATTGATTAATATTAATTGTGCAATTAAACAAAATTTTTGTGTTTAAAATATAAAGAATATTTCATCAAGATTTCTTTCTAAAAACCACTTCAACAATGACTTACTCCAAATGGAAATAGCCATAACAATATGATAATAGTTCATACCAATGAAGCAACACATGGGGCAGCATGTTCACTGACATTTTGAACATAACCACTGCAATTGAAAATTGGACAAAAGTTTACTTTCAGCATTTACATTGAATACAACTGAGAAAAAATGTATTTGTACAATGAAGTGAGCTATGTAAAAGAATGTCATGTGACACAAATGACAGATATCGGTTATGTGACATATTGACATCATATAACTGATCACTAGTAATGGCAGTAGACAGAGGAATAGTGTAATAGGTTTTTTTTTATCACTAAGGAAAAGTCTACAATTTGAAGAAATTTTTTTTTTTCATTCTGAGGAACCTTATAAAAAATATAGGAAAAGTAAAGTAATATTTTGATTATAATGCCAGAAAAGCATGATCAAACTGAGATTTGATTACACAGAAATCTTTCCCCATAATCAATAAATCATCATATAATATTTGGTTTTGATTGTAAGTATAGTTTTTAAGTTATTCTTCAAATTTTTCAGTAGACCTACTGGTAAAGAGCTCCATTTGCTTTGCTCAAAAAATTAAATCAAATAAACAAATAGGTTGAAATCACTTGTATATTAATTCTATTAACCAACTAACACAATAATAATAATAATAATAATAATAATTCACAAAATAATTTTTTTAGAATCTATATTAAAAATTATATTAGATATATCTTAATATTAATTCATACCTTTCTTTCAAGATGACTTGGAAACAAACTATTTTGAAAAGGCTGTCTATTATAGGAGACCCATAACTGCAGAGTTCCATTTAAATTATGAGATCCAAATAGATGCTATTAATTTTAATATGATAATTTTAATGAATAAAATTAAATAAGAAATTGTTTACATATATATTATTTATATATTACAGTAGAAGTTCATTAATCTAGCATCTATATGACCAGATCAGAGTAGTGCTAAATTATTGAAAATTCTATATTATAAGACATTTATATTTTCACAAAATTTTTTAAGTCATATGTAATAACATTTCAGATATTGCATATTTTGTCCCATTGCATCCTGCTGTGTGTTACTGATTTGTTACATATGCACTTTAATTAATTTGAGATGATACAGTACATGACTATGCTATGTTAAGATTGATTGGAAAACTTTCAAAAACAATATATTATTGCAAAACATCAATGATTCATGTGCATATAACATTTATTTTTCAGATGTACTGTATATATGATTCTCAAAAGCTACACATGCTCCAAATAAGAGAAATCTATTTTTAGTACTGTATTTCATTTTTCCTATTCATTCCTATTTTTGCCAATGCATGGAAAGAAATACTGCTCTTGCATTGGCCTGTGGGAAATATATCAATCATGCATGTTACTGAACACAAAATATATGTGCTAGCTCTAACATGTGCAAACAAATTCTAATTTGCAAAATACTAACACCATGCATTATAATTGGACAATTCAAAACTATTGGCTACTTTTCAGATGATGTCAGATCACAGGACATTCTGCATTACTGGCCAGATTAACAAACTTCAACTATATACAGTATTAAACAAAGCATAAAAATAAAAAATAAAAATAAACATTAACAACTTTATTAATCAAAATTGTGTAAATTGAATATTTATATGTATGCATTTTTATTTGAATAAATTATTTAAAATATAGTTTTTGATAATTGTAAGTAAATTTATTCTGCATCATATATTTATAAAATTACTACTGTATAATTTCCATATAACCTCAAGTTATCTGTGTTTTAAAGTTAATTTAAAAGCAAGTGTAGACTATATGATCTAGTTATTTTTTCAGGTTATATGCAAGAAATTATGAATAATATAATTAGTTTAAATATAACTTATCAACAAATATTAATAGAAAACATATCATTATTAGTCTTTTGCTTATTGTCAGATTTTTCAAAATGTTTAATCTTTTAATATAAAAAAAACCCTATGTATTGAGAATATAATGTTCATAATAAACTAAAGTTTATTTTTGTATACTTATATCATATTTGGAAACATCAATAAACAAATCTGTTGAATAGTGCAAAAATAGTAAAATTAGAAATACAGTAGAGCATCGATTATCCAACCCCCAATTAACCATCACATCGGTTAACCGACTGTTCTAGTCGGCAAATTTCAAATGTCCGCTAGTGGTGTGGCATTACAATATTTGGCTATATCTTGGCTACTTTAACATTATTTTTGTTAAATATTTGCATGTTTTAGCTGGCATCAATGGCTCGACCATTGAAGGGAGGTCAATATTTAAACGAGACATAATTTTCTAATTATGAATGGTTGTTTGTTTCGTGAGCAATAAAATAATTTTAAAATAATTTTTAACGATACGATAGCGATGATTATTATTTTAAAAAAAAATATACTAGATAAAAACATATGAATGAATGAATTAGTAGTAAATTTGCCCATCAAGAATGATGTTTAATTAAATGACACTAAATGAAATAATTACTAAGGGCAATATTTTATTGAAGAAATTTAGTATATATCATAAAATTTCTAATGGATGTATCATTTTTATTATTATTACATGTAATTTTTATTTTCATAAAAAGCATTTATTGGCAGAACTCAATGAAATTTTTAAAAAGTTCCCTTGATTCGTTCTAACAATGGTATCTAAAATTCTTTACAGTTCTTTCAGGCTTGCAACATAACACAAAGAAAACCAACAATACTTTTTTGGACATCCACTAGACATAATAATCACTTGTTAAAAGCTAAGAAAACAATAACTTATTAACTTTAAAGTTAAAATAGGTATTTAACCAAACCATGCAGACTCCATATTCCTACAACAACGTAGATGACATGTGCTGGTAGACACTTGCAATCACCAATGTTTCACTCAATATTTACTCAAATTTTAATGTATAAAACAAACCTTGTAATAATTCAAAATTTTTAACATCTTGTTTATCATCATCAAAATAAAGCACGTGATAACACAAATGGCCACATAACAAATGTGAAAGTTTCTATAAACATTACAAATGTATTTAAAGCTTACATTATTTACAGGGTCTGTATAGATAATTCCATCTATGATTCCCTGACCAATTATGGCATTATTCCCTGACCTATTACGGTCTCTGCATTTATCCTTTCAGTTATGTAATATTTGGCCAAGTCTATTTAAGCCCATTTTGTACAAATTATATAAATTTTTTATTAAAAACATCTTATTCACTTACAAAGAACAAAAAACTTCGTGTAAAATTGATTACATAATTAGCTACATCATTTCTATGTCATATAAAAAAAATTTCATGACTATTTAAATTGATTTGTAAATTTTATTTAAATAAGAAAAAGATTAAGAAAATTCTATTTTACAACATTAATTAAAGTGAAGAGGTGAGAAATTCAAATTAATTGAAACAGAATAAATTGTGCATTCTGTCAGAGGCAAAATTGCTTATTGTGCGATATTTTTGGTCTAGCACGGACCCATTCACGGTCATTATGTTTCTACCCATTCTTCCCTGAAACTTATAAATGGGAGCAGTGGAGTTTTGGTGGGAAATCAAGTCGTTGTCAATGGTGTTTTTGAAAACCTGACTTTAACTCTAGACGATATTTTGGTATACTTCCAAAATTCTGTAAACCACCTGAAGATGAAAATTTGCAGTTAGAGAGAAGACATATCAGAGAGCATCAATCCATCAAAATTGGCAGGATTATTATCTCCACATACTGCATACAGCCAGTAGCACAGAATACAACAAATAAAAATAAATAAGAATTGCACAAGGTCTGCCATGAGATCCAAAATGTCTTGAACACAATACTGTTAAGCCAACTGACAGTTCTTTGCCTCCCCACAGCATCAACTGACTGCAAAGATTCAGGTCAAAAAAATTGGGAGGGTTATGTATAGGATACAATCACAATTATTTAAGGTGTGAATACATCATTGTGTTATTAGAAGAAGGATAAGATGTAAACAAATAAAGTCTTGGTGGTTATCATGAGTCAATATAAATGGAAATATGAACAGAAATGTAAGGAATGTATATTGTTGGGAAGAAAAATTTAAAAGGAGTCAGAAAATACCAAATTGACTAATGCCAAACGATGCAGATTGTATATATTGGGTGTAAGAAAACTGAGTGTGTCAACCTTGACAGGAATACTTCAAGTGTGCTGCTACCTGAACCTTTAGATACAGTCGACCCCCCTATAACACTGTTGATTATTCCATTTTATAGTCACTTAGATTTTACAAATACATGAGCCGTTCACAGCCTGGCACACATATTTGTAAAATCTAAGTGACTCGTACAACATGGAATTCATATAAAATGGAATAATCAACAGTGTTATAGGGGGGTCGACTGTATCTAAAGGTTCAGGTAGCAGCACACTTGAAGTATTCCTGTCAAGGTTGACACACTCAGTTTTCTTACACCCAATATACAATCTGCATCGTTTGGCATTAGTCAATTTGGTATTTTCTGACTCCTTTTACATTTTTCTTCCCAACAATATACATTCCTTACATTTCTGTTCATATTTCC